ATTAGGGTCCCAGCATCGAAAATAAATTAAAACCCAACTGAATCTCGAACGAATTGTCTATATATATATATATATATATATATATATACATATATATATATATATATATATATATATATATATTAAATTGCAGAATACACTGCGCCGTAACCATAATCAATCATACATCGGACTTTTGTGTTTTCTTCAAATTAGAGTCCCAGCATCGAAAATAAATCAAAACCCAACTGAATCTCGAACGAATGCAGTCTATACATTTTTTAAATTGCAGAATATACTGCATAAAACCATAATCAACCATACATCGTATTTTTTTCTTCAAATCAGAGTCCCATCATCGAAAACAAACCCTTAAAACCCAACTACGAACCGGACGAGACACCACATCGGACCAATGACGAACGGCCTCAACATCACGTAGGCACACCGTCGGCAGGTTCTGTTACAGCGATGGTTTACGGCGCTGGGGATCTTGACACACTAGACCGGTCACGTGCTCGGGGAGGGTCGCCTTGCCCGGGTTCGGCTTCATCCTCGGCCCGCGCACCTCGCTCGGGTGACGGCGGCGCTGGGGAGGGCCGGCGATTCACCACACACGCGACCCGTACGCATGGCAGCTGTGAAATTGAGTGTAAAGCTGTAAACTGAGTAAGGCTGTAAACACACACACACACACATACAGAAACACATAAACACACACACACACACACATACAGAAACACATAAACACACACACACACACACACACATACAGAAACACATAAACACACAACACACACACGCGTATAATGGCGACCGTGAAGGCAGATGTTGATGGATATATTTATTTAGAGGCAGATGCGAAGATAGGTTGGTATAGATAGGTAAACATATAAAAATAAATGCACCTATTATTGTGTGCACGACAGTAAGCCGTTGTAAACCGTCGTCTCCCAGATTTGGACATGAAGCCATGTTTGACTAATTTTTATTTTTTTTACCATCTCTTTCATGTCTGTAAATTTACCGCCTTTTTCTTAGACCTTCGATGAACATGACTTGCTAATTTCCTCGTCATCATTATTACTTTTTTCTAATTATTTTTGTTTGTGTGAATGTATAAACCTATAATTTATGTATATAATAAAAAACAAACACACCCTCACACACATGCACCACACACACACACACACACACACACACACACACACACATATATAATATGTGTGTGTGTGTGTGTGTGTGTTGTGATGTGTGTATGTATGTGTTGTGTGTGTGTGTATCTAAAACACACGCACACGTAGAAGTGCGTGCGCGAGACGAGAAAATTGTGAATACCTCTGGTAAGATTACCTTCCATTGCCGGTGAACTTTTATTACCTTGGGGATGATATCACACCTACATAACCTTAGCCTTAGAGGTGGTGAGGCTTGCTGAAGAAATACCCTTTGAAACATAATATAAAATATTGATTCTGAGACATCAAAATTATCGATGCTTTCTATTCTCGACTTTCAATTCAATCTATTTTGTTAGTTTTTTGTTGTTTTCCTTCTTTTGGAGGGGGGGGGGGTACTTTCTAGTTTTTGAAGCCTTTTGGAAGAACACGTGACTGATAACAAAAAACTAGATTTCCAATTATATCCCCGACTCACCTGATTTTTGACGAACCTATTTATGATGTTCTTATGTTGCTCTGCTTTTGTTCTTTAACTATGTCCCTTTTCTTTTCTTTTTTTAATTCGGGAAACTACCCCCCCCCCCTCTCTCTCTCTCCTCTCCCTCCAATTTTTCCTCCTCCTCCTCCTCTTCCACTTCTTACTCTCCTCTCCCTCTCCCGCTCTTCCAATCACAATCCACACGTCTGATATTAAATGAAACATTCCCACAATAAAAGAAAACAAAATCATCAACCGCGAACACAGTATTCCTTTCTTCATGACCCACTGAATGCACTTTATAGTCTTGAACATTTCCCGCTGTCTATGCACCGTCGTATGGCTAAGTTCTTAATCTTCTTAATCTTTCCTCTAATCCAAGATAGATACACACACACACACAAACACACACACACACACACACACACACACACATATATATATATATATAATATATTTAATATATATATATATATTATATATATATATATATACATATATATATAATATATATATATATTATATATATATATATAATATATATATATATATATATATATATATATATATATATATATATATGTGTGTGTGTGTGTGTGTGTGTGTGTGTGTGTGTGTGTGTGTGTGTGTGTGTGTGTCCTCCTAATTCTAATTCTGAATAGAAAAAAGGCAAGTTCTACCTCAGTGCGTGCAGACTTCCAGGGGAAAGGTCTTCTTCCCCCGACGAAAAGCGCCTTTTTAGCACAAGAAGAAAAGAAGCAAAGGGTCAACCCCCCCCCCCTCGACCCTGCCGCCTATTCCGTGCACTTATATGCCTATCCGTCAGGGACAGCGCCTTCGTCACTATTGATTTCCAGAGGGCCCTGTCCGAAGGGAGGCTTAACCCGGCGGCCAAGACCCGAGACCCGCTGCTTCACGTTGGGTGTCACATGGTCGCCGTCGCACAGAAGCCACATAAATGAAGGAACGGCTCGCCTCGTCTCGTGTTACCTCCGTCTCGGAAGATCACCTGACTCCGGGTCGCCGATAGCCTCCTCGACGCCTCCTGGAACAGTGTCGCTCTGCCTCCGTCTGGGCCGAGTAGCCTCCTCCCTCCTCTCCTCCTGCTCTCCTACTCGGCCTCCACGTGTTCGCTGGCTCGGCTCTCAGTGTTCGAAGCCGCTTCATTCCGAACGGACCTGCGCTTCGGTGCCTCGATAGCGTTTCCATTTGAAAGAAAAAGACGAAAAAGAATTCTAAACCCCATAATAGAAGAAAGAAGAGAAGAAACTTTTTGTAAACTTTTAACTCCTATACCTGAATATTTAAAGAAAAAGGAGAAAAAAAAAGCGCGGACCCATATTATCGCCATAGAGTATAGCACCAGAACAAAATGGCGACCGCAGGATATAGTGAGATCCCCGGTGTGTACAGTGAACAGCCCCGTACAATGGCAAGCATCCGGCGCACCATAAGGAGCTATCGGTATTGTTTAGGAGCTACAGCCCTGTGAGTATAATTTATTTGATTTCTTACTCTTCTCCTTATTCAGTTGTTAGTCTGTTATACCAGCAAATTATCTTTTCTCTCGATCTATATACGTCACTGTAAGTAATAATGATAATAATGATGTGATGGTGGGCATGATTTGGATAAGGATAGCATTATCAACTATTGCTGATAACAATGATAATGCCAATAACAATAAAGTTATGACAAAAATATTATAATCACAGTAATGATAATGATGGTAAGGACAGTAATAGTGATCATGTTAAGGATGGTGATAATACAAAAGTAATATGAGTGATAACAGTGATGATGATAACCATCGTGATAATCATAAACAATCAATCATTAAGTATATGGATAAAAGGGATTATAAAATGGTGATCATATTTATGGTAAGGATAATATCATCAGTATTAATTTTACCTGTATTGGTTATGCTGATGAAGGTGGACTGACAATAATGAGAGTAATTATTAATAATCATCATTATCGTACCATTATCATTGTTTACTATATATCGTTATCCTTATTATTGTTGTTGTTATCTTTATTCATGTTATTATTAATCATACTATGATATTATTATTCATCATTAATTTATTATTATTATTATTATTATTATTATTATTATGATATATTGCTATTACTGGTTCTGTTGTTGCTACTACTATTATTTTTTTCTTCAATTTATATCATTCATTATCATTATTATTATCATTATTATTATCATTATTATCATATGTTGTTATTTGTTATTATTATTATTATTATTCATTATTTATTATTTATTATTATTATTATTATATTATTATTATTATATTTATTATTTTACTATTATATCATTATTATTATAAATTATTATTATTATTTATCTTATCATGCTAATCGTTCGTTGTTGCGCCTGAAATCGTATCGTGTATTGCAGAGTTGAAGTCACTGCATTTCTTGCAAAATAATTAACAGCTTAAGCATTTGCATCACACACACACACACACACACACACATAATGGCTCCATAATACGAATCTATAGGAATCCTTTTCTATCTATTATCATATCTTTTGGCGTTATCTTTACCGTTATAATTGTTATTGTTTTGATTTTTTCTTCTTGTTCTTCTTCTTATTATTTTTAGCTATTATGATTATTGTTATTAATATTATCATTATCATATTTACGTTATCATTGTTCTATTTATTTTCATTTTTATTCTTCTTGTTCACCTTACTACCATAATCATTATTATTATTACCATTTCTAGAATGCAATAGTGTTCGTGTTTTCGATCGTTCGTCTGAGGCAAGTACGCTGCAATGGAGTAGTTAGACCGTTAGTTTACACACATTTATTATTCACACGAATATCCTTAAGGGGAAGAAGCTTAAAAGGGAAGAAAGGAAGGGAAAGGAAGAGGGAGAAGAAAGGAAACTCAGAGAAGAAATATGAAGGGGGAGAAGGGAAGAGAAAAGGGGTCTTAAAGAAGAAAGGGGATAAGGGAAGGGGGGGGTAAAGGGGAAAAAAGGAGCTGGGGAAAGAGAAAAGGAGGAGAAACAGAAGGGGTTGAAAGAAGCAGAGGAGATGGGTAAGGGGAAGGGAGGAAGGAAGAAGATACAAAGGGGGGGAGAGGGAGAGAAAGGGGGAGGGAGGAGGGAGGAGAGAAAAAGGGAAGGGGGAGGGAAGAGAAGAGGGGGAGGTAGGAGGGAGGGAGAGAAAGGGGAAAGGGAGGAGGGAGAGAAAAGGGGAAGGGAGGAGGGAGGAAGAGAAGAGGGGAAAGGAGGAGGGAGGGAAAGGTAAAAGGCACTTAAGGAATTGGGGAAAGATAAGCGAGCAAGAGGAGAGATGTGGGGGGCAGGGGAGGAGGAGGAGTGAAATGAAGTGAGAGGGTATGGGAGAACATGAAGAGGAAATGACAAAGTGTTGGAGAAAGGAAAGGGGGAGAGAGAGGAAGGAAAGGATATCATGATTTCCTTTTCGTTCCATGGAATTTCAACGTGTTATTACTTTTGTTACCACTATTATTATTATCATTATTGTTGTTGATGTTATGTTTATCTTTTTCAATATTATTATTGTCATTATTGTTGTTGTGCATGTTTTTGTTATTAAATTTGACCCCGTATTCATTGTTGCTCTTATTGTTTCACCATTACTATTGTCATTATCATTGTTATCATCATCATCATTATTATCACCATAATTATCATTATCTTTATTGTCATTACTGTTGCTCTTGTTAATATTATCATTATAAATTTCATTCTTATTATCATGATCATTATTCTCCTTAGTATTATTATTATACCATAATTCTGCTTGTGTTTCGTCTCACCGTCTGTCTGTTTGTCTGTTCGTATATTTCACTTTTAATAATAATAATTATTATTACAATTTTAATAATGTATATAATATTCGTTATCATTGTTCGAATTGTTATTTTTATACTTTTATCATCATGATTATTTTCCCTGTTGTTATTGTTATTATTACTGTTATTACTATTATTATAATCATGATAATAATGATGATTGTTATTATCATCATCATTATTATTATTGGTGTTGATATTATTATTATTGTTTTTATCATTATTAATGTTATTGTTATCATTCTTCTCTTCTTCTTCTTCTTCTTCTTATTATTATTATTATTATCATCATTATTATTATCATTATTATCATTATTATCATTATCATTATTATTATGATTATGATTATTATTATTGTTATTATTATCATTATTATCATTATTGTCATTATTGTTATTATCATTATCATTATTATTATTATTATTATATTATTATTATTATTATTATTATTATTATTATTATTATTATTATTATTATTATTATTATTATTATTATTATCATTATATTATTATCATTATTATTATTTTTATTAATATTATTGTTATTATATATTATTATTATCATTATTAATATCATTATTGTTATTATTACTATTATTGCATTACTATTATTATTATTATCATCATTATTATTATCATTATATTGCTATAATAATCATCATTATTATTTTTATTATTATATTATTATCATTGGTATTGTTATTATTATTATCATTGTTATTTATTATTATTATTATTATTATTATTATTATATTATTATTTATTATTTTATTATTATTATTATTATATTATTATTATTATTATTATTATTATTATTTATTATTATTATTATTATTATTATTATTATTATTATTATTATTATTATTATTATTATTATTATTATTATTATTTATTATTATTATTATTGTTTATTATTGTTACCCTCATTCCTATTATTATTAATGTTATCATTATTATTATGTTTGTTATCGTTGCTATCATCAATAACATTAAAAAATGGTTGTGATAATAATAATGATGATGATAATAATGATAACAGTAATCAAAATGAAATAATGATAATGGTAATGATAATGATGTTAACAATAATAGTAATAATAATAATAACAATAGTGATTATATGAATAATAGTAATTACGATAATAGTGATGATACTGATAACGATAATAATCATAATAATGATAACAAAAATGAATATAATGATGATAATAATAATGATAATATTATTAACAATGATGATAATTGTTAAATTTATTATCATTATCATTGTTGTTGTTGTTATTATTATTTACTACTACTACTACTACTACTACTACTACTACTACTATATAATGATAATAATAATAATAATAATAATAACAACAACAACAAAACAACAATGATCTCCGGTTATAGTTTTTGGTAGCGTTGGATAGTTAGTCTGTTTGTTCACCATTTAGCAGGATAACTAAGTTATGAAGAGATTCTTATGAAACTTTTACCAGATGTGTGTATGAGCCTAACTTAGATTCGAATAATGATCCGGATCCAGACATTTTTATTATTTATTATTTTTTCATGTTAACCCTATATTTAGGGATACTATTATTATCATCATTACTTTTATTACTTCCGCCAAAGAGGTTATGTTTACGGACGTCACGTGACCAGTGTACTTGAGAAAGATGTGATTTTGATGGAATTCTTCGAGTGTGAATATTTTTATTGCATCAGTGGTCTTATTACATTGGCGGTATGTGCTCTCTGAGTTCTTCTGGTTATTATTATTATTTTATCATTATGATTATTCATTATTATTATTATTATTATCATTATCATTTATTATTATTATTATTATTATTATTATTATTATTATATATATTATTATTATTATTATTATTATTATTATTATATATTATTATTATATATTATTATTATTATACAAGAAGTTATGAAAATTATTATATATATATATATATATATATATATATATATATATATATATATATATATTATATTATTTTACCTTGTTTCTTTGTTTTCCTTCTTTTTTATCAGCTGTTTCATATTCCACTAAAGTTTGGTGTTGATCCGGATCATAATCCAGATCCAGGAATCTTCTGAATGATTGCACCAGTAACTATTATTATCATCATTGCCTTTATCACTTCCGCCAAGGTCCTGTTTGCGAAAAAGAGGCGATTTTAATGTAATTCTGCAAGTATGAATATCATTATCATCATTATTGTTGTTGTTCTTATCATCTTGTTATTGTTATTGTTATTTTTCATATTCTTATTGTTATTTTTCATATTATTATTGTTATTATTATTATTATTATTATTATTATTATCTTTATTGTTATTATTAGCATCATCATTATATTTATTGTCATTGTTATTATTGTTATTTATTGTCATTATTGTTGCAACAATAGTGATAATAACTATAGTAATTACTGTTGTTATTATCTTTGTCATTACCATTATTATTATCACCATTATTGTTATTATCATCATCATAATCATCATCATTATTATCATCATTATCATTATTATGGTTGGTTATAGTTTTGTTATCATCATTATTTTTTCTTGATGATTATAGTCATTATTTATGTTACTATTATTGTTGTTATTATTTTATTATTATTATTATCAATATTGTTTACATTATCATTATCAATATGATAATAATAAAAATAATGATAATAATAATAATAATAATAATAATTAATATAATATTATTATTTATTATATTATATATTATCATTATATCTATTATCATATTATTATATCTATTATTATTATCATTATTATCATTATCATTATTATTAGTAGTAGTAGAGTAGTAGCAGTAGCATCACCTTTATCATGATCATCAATAGTATTATCATTATTATTATTATTGTTATTATCATCATCATCATCATCTTTGCTATTATTATTATTGATGTACTTACTATCATTATTATTTTTAATCATCACCATCACCATCATATAATTATTATTGTTATTATTATTGTTATCATTATTATTATTATCATTATTACTATTGTCGTTATCATTACATTGTCATCATTCTGATATTCATCATTTCCATAATAAAATCAACGATAAAGATCAAGAAATTGATGAAAAGGAGCATAAAGATAAAGATAATGATGCCGATAATTACAATAATTACAATAAAGATGATCATGATGACAATGATAACTATAGTGACCCTCATTTACCCTGTTAATGATAATGAAAGTGATAGTTATGGCAATTATAATGATTATAAAATAACAACAATGATATAGACAATAACCATAGCAACATCAACAACAATAATAGAGGCAATGATAATGGTGATAATGATGATAATTATAATGAAAACCTCTGTAACAGCTAACAATAATGATGATTATTACTGTACAGACAAACCGACAGACAGAGAGACAGACACACAACCGGAGGAATAGATAAACAGAAAGACAAGCCAATCAGATACAGACACACATGCACATGCACAAGCGACCAGCAGACATAGAGATAAAAAATAGACAGAGAGATAGACAGACACAGAGGCATATAAACACGCACAAACGACCAGCAAACAGACATAGAGATAAAACAAAACATACAACAGACAGGCAGACACAGAGACACATACACACGCGCAAACGACCAGCAGACAGACATAGAGATAAACAAAACAGACAGATAGAGAGACCGACAGACAGAAGGGGACACTATCTCAAAGACAAATACTCAGAGAGACGTAGACACAGGTAAGAGATAAACACAGAGATAGTCTAACTAAAAGACAGCAAGGAGATCAACAGAAAAGACCAAAAGATAAACAGAAAGGACAATAGACAAACAAAGAGAGACGAACAGAAAGGCTGACAGAGAAGCCAACAGACACACACACATAGACAGATGGACAGAAAGACCAACAGAAAAACAAAAAGACAAGAAAACAGACAGAGAGAGAAGCAACAGAAAGACAGAGAGGGAGAGAGCAACAGACAAAAGAACAAGAGAGACAGAGAGAGCAACAGACATAAAAAGCACAGACATAGAGAGAGAGAGAGAGAAAGCAACAGACAGACAGAAAAAGCACAACAGATAGAGAGAAAAAGAACAGACACAGAGAGAGAAAGCAACAGACAGACAAAGAGAAGACAGACAGAGAGACAGACAACAAAGAAAAGAGACAGACAGAGAGAGAAAGCAACAGACAGAAAGACCAGCAGACAATCCGCACAACAGAGGAATTCTATCAATGGAGGTCGTGTGATCCGTCCCTCTGCCTTTCCCGCCCTTTCTCATCTTTTACGACCTCTTGGGGATCCTATTCTGCGTCGCGAGGGCTGTAAGGAGGAAGGATATGATGTCCTATAATGCCTCAGGATGTCTTATGAGGCGCTGGATGCCTCGTCAAAGGATAAAGGAATGGCTGGGTTTAGCATGTGTTGAGGGTCGCTGAGTGGTCTTCTTCTTATGTTTGTGTGGGATTTGAGGGTGGGGTGGGGTACTTATGGGGTATTGTGTATATGTGCACACACACACACACACACACACATTTACACTATTTAACTTTTAAAATGAGTTAAATGGATAACCCGCGCAAATAACAATAATAATAAGAAAAAAATAAACAGAATAAAAACGACAAATAAATAGATAAATAAACACAAAAATGCAATTGAAAAGTGCATATCTGCATATCTTTCCCTCCCCCGATTCAGAACAGCAGTCGTGGTCACCCTGGCGAGCGTGATCTCCGTCCTGATTGGCCAGAGCATCAGGGCGTCAGAAGCAAGCTCGGACGCCACGCCAGCCAATCACAGCCTCACGATCCTCATGGCTTTGCCGTGGCCGCGCAGAGGTGAGTGGGAAAGGGGTTTACCATTTGTTTTTATTAATTATTTCATTCACGTATGTGTTATTTATTTAATTAGGTATTAATCCATTTAGTTAGTTATTAATCAATTATTTAGTTGTTATTTATTTAGTTATAATCCATTCACTTTTTTATTTAGTTATTAATCCATTTAATTCTATTTATTATTAGGTATTCATTCATCTATTTAGTTATCAATTCATTTATTTACTTGGTTATTTTTTACTTAGTTATCCTTCCATTTATTTACTTACTTAGTTATTTATTAATCAATTTAATTATTGATTCATATAGTTTATACACACATTTATTTACTTAGTTATCATGTCATTTATTTATTCAGTTCTCAATTATTTAGTTACTGGATATTTGTTTTCAATCTTTTGGGAGAGGGGAGAGAATGAAGGAGAATAATAAAATAGATATCTTTCTTCAGGGTTTCCAGCAACCATGAAGAGATAAAAAAACTTGTGAAGTAGCTTTACTTTCTCGAGTCAGGGAAGTGCTTCATTTCAGGGGAAAAATCAGGGAATTGACTGGCCCTAAAAAGAGAAAATTGTCTGTCTGTTGTATTTCTCTCTCATTCACCAAAGCGTTCTTTACAACCAGGGCTGTTTTTTTTCTTTTGGTATATTCACGACAATTATTATTGTTGCTAAAATTATCCTTATTGTTATTATCATTATAAAAATAGTTATAATGATGAATATGACATAAATAGGATAATAATTATTATAACTGCAATAATGATGATACTAATGGTAATTATGACGAAAATTACAATAATGATTATAGTCATTGTACAAAGGTATGAATGAGAGTAAATTTCTTCACAATACAAGAAATGCGTTGTACCGGTTTCGAATATATCTTCGTCAGAAATTCATTCTCCTTCATACCTTTCTACATTTGTCAACATAAATACGCTTGTAAATCATCGACTAGTTAAGATTGCACTTCTTATCACTATATATGCATATACAGATCATATCAGATGAGATGGTGTATCGACCAAAGAGACTGATAGATATGCGCATATTCTGTGTATAAATACATCTATAATGGTAGAAAAACCCACAATGCAAAACTAGATTTTGAAGTAAGTTTGTGCATTGTGGGTTTTTCTACCAATCAACACGATAGAGTGTTTTTCTAAATCACATCTATATTATTTGACTATCCATTGGGTCGAGCCTCTCGGAAACCAAACAACCGACAGACAGATATAACTGGACATAAATAGATAGATAAAAAAAACGTATTTTAGCCTATCAGATCTAACTGGATATAAATAGATCGACAAACCCCATCTTTTAGTCCATCCCAGAGACCTCCATTTCGACCCCCTACCTTACCCCTCAGAGGTGGCACAGCTCATTGGTAGAGCGCTGGCTTGGCACTCGCAAGGTCCTGGGTTCGCGCCCGGCTGCCCCTCCCAGTCGACTCAGCTGTGAATGAGCACTGGTATGCCGTCGTCAGCATGTTGGGGTCAAAATAGGGGCGGAAAGGAACTGGCCGCCCTACCACATCCTCCCGCGGCTTAATAAACATGCTTCTCTGCAAACATGTTCCTTACGTCCAGATGGATATGGAAGGAATTCATGGTGAACAGATTGCAACAGGAACAACGAAGGGAAGGGCAAGAAAACACACGAATATGCCCTGACGAAGCAATAGTGAAAAGGCCTTCGGCATATTCGTGTGTTTTCTTGCCCTTCCCTTCGTTGTTCCTGTTGCATGGATATGGAACCAACTTTGAACTTTGACCTAGATAGATATGGGACCAATTTTGAACTTTGACCTTTGACCCTCCCCCATCTCCCCCTCCAGACAGCCCCTGGTACGTCCGCCGGTGGGAACGCAGTCAGACGATGACCCCGGATGACCCCCACAAGAGGAAATTCGACCCCAATGACCCCACGGATCCGGACGACCCCGAGGGACCGGAATGGACTAGCCCGGACATGTCGACCTTCGGGAATAACGACACTTGGAATTGGAATCGCAGGCCGTCGGAACTGCCGCACTGGTCGCCGGTGGATGTGAGGTGAGTGGATGGGTGGATGAAGTGGATGAGAGGTGGATGGACGGATGGATGAATGCGGGAGCGGATGTATGTGGGTGGGGAGGGTGGAAAGGAATTGTTGCCTGGTCGCGGTGGATGTGAGGTGAGTAGATGGGAGGATGAGAGGTGATGGACGGGTGGATGTGTACGGTTGAGGACGGTGGGAAGGAATTGCCACTCTGGACGCCGGTGGATGTGCATGGGTGGACGGTTGAGGACGGTGGAAGAATTGCCACATTGGATGTGGTGTGAATGGATATGTGGATTGAGGACGATGGAAAGTGGCCGGTGGATGTGAGGTGTGGATGGTGGATGAATGGATGAGGTGAGTGAACGGATGGATGAATGGGGGGAGCAGATGTGTATGGGTGAGGAAGGAAAGAATTGCCGCTCTTACAAACACATCCCTCCAACCCTCCAACCCATCCTCGAGAATCTTGCATAACACCAAGTCCACCCCCCCCCCCCCCCACAGCGACTCCTTAGCGGCGGGTTCCTCTCAGCAAGCCAAGGCCGCCAAAATAGAGGACGAGTTGGCCAAACGCAACCTGACCCTGGCCCACGGTTCAGCCTCCTACAAGCACCAGCAAGCCTTCAGGAAGACCCACCCGCTGGCGACCAAGATGGCGAAGCAGGGGTACCTCATGGACGAGGCCACGGCAGCTTTTAAGTCGAGGTATTTTGCTCTAAGAAAATGATCTTAGTTGGATTTTTTTTGTATTTTATTTATTTTTTGTTTGTTTCTTGGTTGGGGGGATTTATTTTTCTTAGTTTATTTTTTTTATTCTTTTTATCTTAGGATTTTTCTTCTTCATTTGATTTTTTTTTTTTTTTGGGGGATTTTTTTTGGGTATTGTTTGCTGTAGGATTTTTTTTTATTCTTAGAGTTTTGGTTCTCTCTTCTCTCTCTCTCTCCTCTCTCTCTCTCTCTCTCTCTCTCTCTCTCTCTCTCTCTCTCTCTCTCTCTCTCTCTCTCTCTCTCTCTCTATATATATATATATATATATATATATATATATATATATATATTATACATAACACACACACACACACACACACACACACACACATATATATATATATATATATATATATATATAATATATATATATATATATATATATGAATATATAATGATAATCTGAATGATAGATATTAAGTGCAAATTACCAATGGCAATAAAATAAAAATCTAATCGAAACATCAAGCACAAGCACCGTCTTGAAAGAACCAAGATAAACGACTCGAACCTTGCAAAAGAACAACGAAGGGAAAGAACAAGAAAAGAACAATAAACACTAAACTTTCTCGTTCTTCCCCTTCCTTCTTCCTTTTGCAATTCGTCCGACATGACTTCCACACGACTCTCACCCTTACGCTCACCCTCCCTTAGGCTCAACATGACCCGAGAAACGACCACGTTCGACTCCCAGTGGGTTGGCGACCTGTCCGAGTCTCCTTACTGCGACCAGACGCTCCTACGCCCGCAGCCGACCCCCTGTGACCCGGACTACCCGTACAGGTCAGCCGACGGGACCTGCAACAACCTGAAGAACCCTACGTGGGGGGCGGCCTTCACACAGTTCCGACGGGCGATGCCTCCGGACTACGGGGACGGTAAGAGGGGTCCTCCTTGGATGGGGGGTGATGGGGGGGGGGGGGTGCCATCTTGATCCCGAAGGAAGGATTTGAAAACATTCGGAAAACCTAACTAAGATATGTCCTTTCTGTGGACTCGGGGAGAGGCAAGGAGACTGAAGGGGGACAGGGCAGGGGCATATGCATCCCAAATTGGATAAAAAAAAAATCGGAAACTGTACTAAAATATCTGCTCTCTCCAATCCTCCTGGGGGGGGGTATCATTTTGATCCTAAACGAATGATTAAAAATCCAAACGCTTGTCTAAAAATATCGATTAAATGTTAAAATATTCAAAACGTAAAAAAATCTATCAGTAAATAAAGCCTCTTGTAAATAAATAGATAACAATAAATATTATATTAAGAATCAAAGCATGCATATTATGCTTTGGAGGAACGGGGTTTCATTCAGATCCCAAACGAATAATTTGAAAGTCAGAAAACAGCAACGAAAGATATTCTCTTTACACAAGAAAAGAAAAGAAAGAAAAAAATACAGGTATCTTAAAATTTCTGTACCATATGGGTCCAGAACGAATTTTGAGAAAATGGACACTATCAAAATCGCCATTCCTTTTGCACTTAAAAAGGGAAAAAGGGAGTTATCTTCAAGTTTTACATATGGGGATTCTATTATTCTGATTCCACGTGAATGATAAAAACATCCGGGAACTCCTAAAATACCTACTCTTTTTACACTTAAAGGAAAGAGGAGGCGCTATCTGAAACTTTCTTTGAACTGGGATGTGCCATTTTAAAATAAGACAAACCAAAAATCCGGTAATTTCTTAAAAAAAAAAGAGAGAAAGAAATATACTCAGAGGAAAGAAGGAGTTATCTCAGTCTTTCTTTAAAACGTGACTGAACCACTTTGACCTAAGGTAAATACTCCAAAAATCCGGGAAATTCTACAGCATAAATCAAAGTTTCGGAAAATCCCGCAAATCCGTGTTTCTGGAGTACGCGAGGATACGACACTTACACCTGAATAAAGTCACGTGATTTTAGCATATAAAATAGCTATTTATTTATAAGAAACAATCGGATTAATAATTCAGAAATCTGATAAAAGGACATAAAAATCTGGAAAAAATGTGAAAATGAAATGCGGGAATCGATTATTATAGATTTCGTTCAAAAGTATGTTCCAAAAATTCGGAAGGAGGAAAAACATTAATTCGTACACAACTCAAAGATGTTAGACAAATAGAACGACACATTATGCAAAATGAGTGAGAATTCATGGAAGTGAATTTCTAATAAAAGTAAAATGTGATTTTTTTCTTTTTACCTCAGACTTGGAAACCGCACCAGACAAGAAAACCAGAACTGATTAATTTAGTTTTGATTTCGCTCAAAAGTCACGATTTTTCATGTCCCTTTTCACTTTTGTTTCATTCCATCTCAATACATGCGTCACTGTTCTTGTATACCCATGCATACGTATATATATATGTATATATTATACCTATAGTTCCTAGTAAACGTACACATGCACTTACATACTACATCCTGCGTGCATATGTGTACTAGACCCTAAAACCCATAAAAAAAAACACACACGTGACAATGAGAATAAAAGCATAAAATTAACATTGCAGAGTATATTCCCCGGCGTCTTGTCTACACAAGGCTATCCTCCCCTAATCATTGATTCAGTTGCAAGGCAGACGTTCAGCTCGGATTACACCAGACCAGGGGATCATTGCACATTGCCGTCTCCCCTACCTCGTCATACTTGATGTTGGGATAGACGTGTATCAGCGTCGTTAAGATTTTAATTATGGTTTTTAATTATCCAATCGTTTTATAGCATGACCTTTTTTTTGAGATTCGTGGGAGATGGAGACGATCTACAATGCATAAATATTTTTTTTCATGGTGATAAAACAAAAAAAAAAAAATAAAAAAAGGAAATGATAACAATATAAAAAATAAAAAGGGAAGTAATAACGATATAACTGACATATAATTTCTAAAAATTAATGTTAAATCCAGCATATTTCCTCACGAAATGCAAGATAAAGAGATAATTCAGTGATTAGAATTAAATCAAGACAAACTCAAGGAGAGGATGCGGTAGCGGGCAGAAGAGAAGGATTGAAACCTGAGAGGAACAAGGTGGATGGAGGACGTCTCTTGTGGTTGACAACATACAGGTGTATGAGGAAGGAGGAAAGGGGTGGGGGGGGAGGGAGAAATAAGGGGAGGTGAAAAGGAGGAAAAGGGGGGGAGGGAGAGGAATAAGAGAAGGTGAGGAGGAAAAGGGGTGGGGGGGGGAGAGGAATAAGGGAGGTGAGGAGGAGAAAAGGGGTGGGGGGGACAGGAATAAGGGGAGGTGAGGAGGAAGAAAAGGGGGTGGAGTGGGGGAGAGGAATAAGGGAAGGGAGGAGGAGAAAAGGTGGGGGGAGGGAGGAGGGGAGGTGAGTGGGGAAGAGGAAGGGGAGGTGAGGAAGGAGGAGGGAGGGGGAGGTAGAGGAATAAGGGGAGGTGAGAGGAGGAAAGGGGTGGAGGAATGAGAAGAAAAGGTGGTGAGAAGGGGAGAGGGAGAGAAATGGAAAGGGGTGGGGGGAGAGGAATAGAGGGGAGAGGGAGAGGAATGAGAAGGAGGAAAAGGGGGTAAGAAGGGATAAGAGGGAGAGAATGGGAAGGAAGAGAAGTGTAAGAGAATGAGAAAGGCAATAAGAAGGAAAGGGAAAAACTCTTTTAGAAGAAAGGCGAGTGTAAAAAAAGAGGAACTTATAAAAGAGAAGAGAGTACGTGTCCCTGGAATAGAGAGATTGGAAAAAAATATATACCAATACATACTCTTGTATGCATGAGTGTGTGTGTGTGTGTGAGTGTGTGTGCGCCGTGCGTGTGCGTGTGTCTGTATTGTTCGTGTGTGTGTGTTGTGTGTGTGTGTGTGTGTGTGTGTGTGAGTCAGTGTGTGAGTGTTGTGTGTGTGTGTGTGCGTCGTGCATGTATAAGCGTAAGCTAGCACACATTTATAAATACATCTACCTCTCCCGAACGAACTCATCTCTTCGGCCATATACCCTCCACACCGTACCGATCGTGCGCCCCCCCCCCCCTCCTTCTGGTGTATTGTGAAGTGGCAACATTCTCGTCTAGTAGTCTTGCTGACCTTCGTTCGATCCGCCGCGCTGCCAGTGGATAGCAACCCCGGCCTTTCTTGCACACAGTGGGTAATTTCGAAGCCAAAAAAACAGACAGTATATCGCAGCAAAGAATATCCGTTGCAAAAAATGAAAAAAAAATCTCTCTTTCTTTTTCTCCCCCGCCTCTCTCTCTCTCGCTCTGTAAATAAAAATAAATCTTATCAAATCAAATCAAATCTCTCTCTCTCTCTCTCTCTCTCTCTCTCTCTCTCTCTCTCTCTCTCTCTCTCTCTCTCTCTCTCTCTCTCTCTCTCTCTCTCTCTCTCTCTCTCTCTCTCTCTCTCTCTCTCTAGCGTGTTGCTCTAACAATCTTGCTGACCTGCGTTCGATCCCGCGCGCTGCCAGTGGATAGCAACCCCGGACATCCCTTGGACACATCGGGGTAATCTAGATACGAAATAAAACAGACAACACGTCCCAGCAGAGAATACCCATCGTCACAAATGGATTTAGAAATAAATAATTTACCCCGGCCATTCCTTGCCCACAGCGAGGTAATTCAGAAGCCAAATAAGACAAAAGAATACCCACTGTAACGAATGAATTTAGAAATAAATAATTTACCCCGGCCATTCCTTGCCCACAGCGGGCCAATTCAGAATGGAAATTAAGACTTAAATTCCTTTTTTTAATCCTTATTTAATTCATTTAATTATTAAATTAATAAATTAATAAGTTATTAAATTGAATTAAATTAATTATTAAATTTAATAATTAATCATTAAATTTAATAATTAATTTAATTATTAAATTCCTTTTTTAATCCTTACCCTGCAGGTGTGTCCTCTCTCCGCCTCGCTCGTGACGGCACCGACCTGCCCAGCGCTCGTCTCGTCACCAACGTCGTCCACACTAACCAGCTCGTTGAGTCCCGCTCGTACACCGTCCTCACCATGAGCTGGGGGCAGTTCGTCGACCATGATATCACGGCCACTGCTTTGTCTAAAGGTTGGTTTGAGGATTTTTTTTTTTGTATTATAGTTTTTTTTTGTTCTTGTTTTTTCTGTCTGTCTGTCTGTCTCTGTTGTCGGTGTGCTGTCTGTCTGTCTGTCTGTCTGTCTGTTCTGTCTGTCTGTCTGTCTGTCTCTCTCTCTCTCTCTCTCCTCTCTCTCTCTCTCTCTCTCCTCTCTCTCTCTCTCTCTCTCTCTCTCTCTCTCTCTCTCTCACCCAGATGATATATAACTCTATATCGGTAAGATAAACAGATAGATGAATCGATAGATAAATGAATAAACAGATTAACGAATTAATAGATAAATGATTAAATAAATAAATAGGTATACAGATAAACAAATAATTGAATAGATAAATAGATAAAGGAATGAACGAATAAATGAATGGATAAGCAAACGAACAAATAACAAAAAATCAAAACTAATTAACTAATTCATGCAAACAAACAAATAAACAAACCAAAATAAATAAACAAACAAGTTAAAACCCCCAACTAACGAATCAATACAAAGAAGTCAAAACAAACAAACAAATAGATTAATAAACACACAATTAAAAACAAACAAGTAAATAAACAAACAATCAAAACAAATTAAACAAACAAACAACAAACACACTAACAAACACATCAAAAACAAGCCAATACAAAAACAAACAAACGCATTAAAACAAACAAACAAATCATTACAAACAAACAAAACAAAAACCCCAAACATCGCCACCCATCCCCAAGAACTCATTCTCTCTCTCTCTCTCTCTCCTCCCTCTCCCCCAGGCTCCAACATGATGGCGATCCCTTGCTGCTCCGTCGAGGTCCTCGAGGAGCCGACCCTCCTCCACCCTCAGTGCGCCTCCATCCCCGTGCCGCCCGATGACCCCTTCTATGCCGCCCACAACCTCACCTGCATGGATTTACGCGCTCCGCTCCGGCCTCCAGGTGCAATTTCGGTGCGTATTGGGGTGGGGGTGGGGTGGGGTGGGGTGGGAAGGGGTGGGAAAGGGGGGGTTGTGGGGTGGGGTGGGGTGGTGTTGTTTTCTTTCATTTTTGTTGTTTGTTGTTTATTGTTATTATTGTTATTGTTGTTATTACATTATTGCTGTTATATTTTTTTGTTGTTGCTGACATTATTATTGTTATAATCATTATCATTGTTGTTATTATTATCCTTGATATTATTATTGTTATCAATATTCTTTGCTTATAATAATTATAATTAACATTATTAATATCATTAGTATTATCATTTGATTATTATTCCTTCATATTGTTGTTATCATTCACCAAAATCATCCTCCTCCTCTTCCACCATCCTCCTCCTCCTCCTCATCATCATCATCATCACCGTCCTCTCCTCATTCATCACCATCCTCTCCTCCTCACCATCATCATCACCATCCTCCTCCTCCTCCATCCATCCTCCTCCTCATCCTCCTCCTTCCTTCACCATCACCTCACCCTCCTCACCATCACCATCCTTCTCTTCATCATCATCACCATCCTCCTCCTCCTCACCATCCTCTTCCTCCCCTTCTTCATCATCATCATCATCACCATCCTCCTCCTCTTCATCATCACCACACCATATCATCATCACCATCCCACCCTCCTCACTACCATCATCACTAACCTCCCCTGATTCCCCAGGCCCCAGAGAGCAGATAAACCAGCAGACAGCTTTCCTGGACGGTTCGGTGATTTACGGGACGTCGGACGAACAGCTCGGGTCTCTTCGGATTCACAAGGACGGCCTCTTGGACTCGCAGGTGAGAGGTTTGGGGCGAGGGTTAATTAAGGGACTTTTAAGGGGAAAGGAAGGTAGGTTTGTGGGGAAAAGTATGGTGGAGGGGGGAGTTGTGGAGGAATGGCAGAATAAGTGAATTTCTAAACTAAACTATAAGGAAATGGATTAATAAGTGAATAGATAAAAACGAAGAAAAAATTATGTTTATTTATTTATTTTTTTTAGAAAAAATGATTTTTTTTCTCGTAAAGATGAAAATATATTTTGTTCTGTACTAATATTCTTCTGAAAGGCAAATTATGCAACGTCGCAATTGGAATATTGATTCTTCTTGCAATAAATGCCTGATTCTACTTCAGGCATGTTTACGCTAGTTTAGCTTACTCCTGTTCCATATTTCACTTTTTTCCTATTTTTTTCTTCTTATTTTTGTTAGGTCTTTAACCGTGTTTTTACGAGCTATTTTCTTTTCTTTTCTCATCACTTTCTCGTTCCGATCATCTCTATCTTACTTGATTAATATATCATTCTTACTGATGACTCTATCAACCTTTTCTAATTATTTACTTCTAATCTACTCTGTCGTTTACTCGCTACTCGTATTTTACTCTCCCAACCCACCACAGGTGCCTATTAACTAATTTTATTTACTTCTTTTATTTGAATGACTCATTTACTCTTCTCGTATTTACACTCCCATACTAATTTTATCGTTTGATTTATTATTTCCTACCAATTTTCTCCTTCCTTTTCCCATTTCTCATTCTTACTCTCCCCTACTCTCCCGAAATGACTATCTACTCATATTATATACTCTTCCCTTCTAATTTACTCCTCCTTTACTCATTTACTCATACTTACTCTCCCATACTCTCCTGAAATGACTATCCACTCCTTTTCTGTACTCTTCCCTTCTTAATTTACTCCCCCTCCTTTACTCATTACTCATACTTACTCTACTCTCCTGAAATGACTATCCACTCATTTTCTGTACTCTTCCCTTCTAATTTACTCTCTCCTTTACTCATTACTCATACTTACTCTCTACTCTCCTTCTAATAACTATTTTAAATACTTTCCTTTCTAATTTACTCCTTCCTTTTCCTCATTACTCATACTTACTCTCCCCTACTCTCCTGAAATGACTATCCACTCAATCTTACTGTACTCTTCCCTTCTAATTTACTCCCTCCTTTACTCATTACTCATACTTACTCTCCCCTACTCTCCTCAGGTGACTCTGGACGGCCGAGAACTCCTCCCAGCATCCAAGGACCCTGGCGATGGGTGCAATGTGGAGGATCAGTTCAAATACGATCGCTATTGTTTCAAGTCCGGTAAGACAATGGGTGCTTGTTAGTAGTGATTGTAAATTGTGATTGTAAATGGTGATTGTAAATAGTAATTGTAAATGTGATTGTAAATGGTGATTGTAAAGAGTGAATGTGAGTGTAAAGGTATGTAAATGGTAATTGTAAATCTGATTGTAAATGATGAGTGTAAATGGTAATTGTAAATACTGATTGTAAGTAATGAACGTAAAAAGTAATTGTAAATAGTGATTGTAGGTAATGAGTGTAAATAGTAGTTGTAAATAGTGATTGCAAATAATGAGTGTAAATAGTAATTGTAAACAGTGATTGTAAATAGAGTTTAGTGTTGTAAAAGTGATTGTAAATAGAGTGCAGAATAGTAGTTTGTAAAAGTGATTGTTAGAATAGTAGTTGTATAGCATAGTGATTGTAAATGATGAGTTTAAATCAGTATTGTAAACTAATGAGTTTAGATCGTGATTGTTAAATAATGAGCTGTAAATTAGTAGTTTGTAATTGTTTGATTGTATAATGAGTGTAAATTAGTAATTTGATAAAAATAAATGTAAGTCGTTAAAATGAGTTATTCCTCCACTCACTACTGACTCAGTCCCCCCTAATCCATTGAACCATTATCGAACTACCCAAGGCCCCACCCTACCCCTAAACCCCACCCCTATCCCCCTAAACCCTGCCCTCGTCCTCTAAAACCCCACCTAATTTCCCGTATAAACTCCACCCCCGTATCCCCCTAAACTCCACCCCGTATCCCCTAAACCCTTACCTTCCTTTCTCCCTTAAACTCCACCTTCTATCCCCATTAAACCCCACCCTAGCCCCATTAAACCCCACCCCTATTCCCCTAAACTCATCCCTTTATCCCCCTAAATTTCCAACCCGTATTCCCTAAACTACACCCCTCATCCCTAAACCCACCTCCTTTCTCCCTAAACCACCCCTATCCACAAACTCCACCTCATCCCCCCTTAAACCCCACCTTTCTTTCTCCCTAAACTCTTCCCCTATTCCCCCAAACCCACTCCGATCCCCCTAAACTCTACCCTTTCATCCCCCTAAACCCCATTCCCCTTACCCCTAAAGCCCATTCTCCTTTCTCCCTAAACTTCCACCCTATCCCCTTAAACTCACCCCTCAATTCCCCCTAAACCCACACCTTTCTTTCTTCCCTAACTCTTCCCCTATTTCCCCCAAACTCCACCTTCATCCCCTTAAACCCCACCCCTACCCCTTAAACCCACCCCTTATCCCCCTTAAACTACCTACGCCCCTACCCCCGCAAAATCCATTTAACCCCACCCCCTCTGAAACCCCACCCCTATCCCCCCAACCCCACCCCCGAATCCCCCTAAACTCCACCCCTACCCCCCTAAGCTCCACCCCCAATCTCCTAAGCCCCGCCCCCTTTTCCAGGCGACGCACGCGCAAACGAGCAGATTCTCCTCACGACTCTGCACACGGTCTGGGCTCGACAACACAACCTGGTCGCGCTCAACCTCAAGGACTTAAATCCGGATTGGGATGACGAGAGACTCTTCCAGGAAACCAGGAAGGTCGTGGTGGCGCAGAGCCAGCATATTCACGTATCACGAGTATTGTTTCCGAGTATATTTAGCTTCAGTCGTAGAGAAGGAGAGAGAGAGAGAAGAGAGAAGAGAGAGAGAGACGAGAGAGAGACAGAGGAAGGGGGAGAGAAGAGAGGAGAGAGGAGGTAGTAAGAGGAGAGAGGATAGAGAAGAAAGGCAAATCAGGTGTGTGTTGAAAAATGCTCCCAAATGGCGAGGGTGAGTAAGGTGGAGTCGGAGGGACGATGAGGGATGGAGGGAGAGAGGTGATAGGAATGATAGGGAGGGAAGGAGGGGAGGGGGAAGGAAGGGAGTTAGAAAGAGAGGACGAGAGAGAGAAGAGATTAGAGAGAGGAGGACGGGGACGGGGAAGGGCGTGACTACGGAGGAGTGAATGGATGCGCGCAGCTTATCATAACATCTTTGGAGAGTGGAGAGCTGAGACATAGAGCGTCATAACCTCCCCGAGAAGTTTGAAGCCAGGAATGCCAAACAGTTCAGGTTGACGCAACGCGTCATCGCGCGGACGTCTCACGGAGATAAATAGAGGCAGAGGCCCGAAGATCACGAAGCACTGAGAGCGCTGGGACATGTCATGGAGTGGATGCATAGACTTGGTTGTGCGCGGTCACCCGCGGATGGACGCGACGTTTGTGATGAAAGACCGGAAGCGAATGATTGCAAGGGCAGAAGTAATAAGAGGAAAGTAGTATGAGGGTGGTGGTGTTGGGTGGGGCAGAAGTGTGGAGTGAAAGTACGCGTAAGTCGTGAAATGCATGGAGATAAGAAGCTTGAAAAATAAAATTGATTTGTAAGAATAGGTACGCGAGATTGACAGTCAGCGCTCAGGCGGTGGGGAAGGAGCGGAGAAGTTTTCGAGTAGTGCACGGGTGATGAGGACGAGAGATAGGATACCGGACTGGAGAGGGAGGAAAGGGAGAGGATGAATGAGGGAGAGGGAGAGGGAGAGAGAGAGAGGAGATGAGAGAGTAGAGAATTGAGAGAGATTGAGAGAGGAGCATCAGACTGAATTCGGCAAGGAAGATATATGTTAACTTGGGAGCAACTTGTTTAGAGTCAAGACCATAAATGAGCCTTATTGCAGGAGCGTGGTGAAGAAGAGAAGAGAGAGAGAGAGAGAGAAAGAAGAGGAGAGCGAGCATGATGCGAGAGAGAGAGAGAGAGAGAGAGAAGAGATAAAATGTGAAGATAACGACATATGGAGAAGAGCTCTGAAATTAGTATTTTCCATATTACGAAACATATCTTTTCCGATATATGAAAAAAAGAAAGTATTGTTATCTAAAAAGATCGTCAGGTACCGAGCAGGAATACAATACAATAAGTTAAAAGTACCAGTTATGACACCTATAATACCACAAAACTTTTTTTTTTTCAGGCCCAGATATTATGAGAAGTTAGAGCTAGTCCTCAGAGTAAAGGAACCACCACGTGGCGTCCATAGCAAGATCACCGGCCTCGCCAACGAATTCGCTGCCGCTGCTTTCCGCTTCGGACACAGCCAGAATCCAGGTTGGCTGACGAATGTTTTGTTCTGTAGTTTTGATGTGGTTTACAAGGTGAATTTGCAAAAAAAAAACAGATTACGTACATGCATGCACCACGCACGCAAAACACACATGCAAAATCTATGTCTTTGTCTCTGTCTCTGTCTGTCTCTCTCTGTCTGCTGTCTGTCTCTCTCTCTCTCTCTCTCTCTCTCTCTCTCTCTCTCTCTCTCTCTCTTTCTCTCATCTCTCTCTCTACTCTCTATAATATATATATATATATATGACACACATATGCACGACATATATACATACAAGTGTTCCACACAAGTTCCTTTTTTCCACCCCAGGTCTCGTACTCAGAAGGTCGACGGCGTCCAAACAAGAACGTGGAATTCGTACAACTGAAAAAGCCTCTCTCAACCCGTTCTCCTCTATGACCAAGGCACGATGGCAAGCTGGTCAGAGAGAGGTGTCCAAGAGCGCTGCAGCCCTGTGACACCTATTTCACTTCTCAGGTAGACTCTCTATTAGAGTGTTTTTGTTATTGTTGTTACGTGTTGTTCATATTTTCTTCGTGGGTGCATGGGTTGGGTAAAGAGGGGCATTGGGGAGGAAGGAGAGGGGGAATGAAGGAGAAAGGTGGAAAGGAGAGAAAGATGCAGAAGGAGACGGAGAGAGATAGAGAAGAGGAGAACGAGAGAGAGAGAGAGAGATGAGAAGAGAGAGAGAGAGAGAGAGAGAGAGAGAGAGAGAGAGAGAGAGAGAGTTTAGATAAGAAAGAACGAGGCAGATAGGAAAAACCCTCGAACATCACCATAACCGCCATCACCTCAGACATCTTCCTTTCCCTCCCTCTGCCCGTTCGTCCCCACAGGTATCCGGCAAGCTGTTCCAAGGCGACAATCCTTACGGTTTAGATCTGGTGTCTGTGAATATACAGCGAGGTCGAGATCACGGCGTGGCAAGCTACACGAAATGGAGAATGTACTGCGGTCTCCCTCCTGTGGGGAACTTCAGCGATCTGGCACAAGACATGGATGCTGGAGCCCTCGGCCGCATCAAGAAAGTGTACAAGTAAGGAATTTGTCTTGTATTAGTAGGGCTTTTGGGGTTTTGTACAAGTAAGAAATATGTGTAGTAAATAGAAGGATTTTTGGGATTTTGTACAAGAAATTGTCTAGAATAGAAGATTGGGTACAAGAAAATTGTTTAGTAAATAGAAGAGATTCTGTTTGTTTTGTACAAGTTTGTACAAGTAAGAAATTTGACTTGTACTAGTAATGATTTTGAGTTTTGTACAAATAAGATTTTTTTGTACTAGTAGAAATTTTGGGATGCGTACAAGTTAGAAATTTGTCTAGTACTATTAGGAATTTTGGGCTGTGTTCAAATAGGAAATGTGTCTTGCATTAGTACCCCTTTTTCATCTATGAACCTCATCACACACCCCCATTATCTCTTTTCCATCTTATTTGAACAACCACTAAGATTTTTCCTTTATCTAATAGCCACAGAAGTCTCAACGCCTTCCCCTATATTCTTTTCATCTTATGGACCTCAAAACGTCACCCATATATCCACCTTTTCCCCATCTTATATTAACTAAACCTCGCGAATTCTTCCTTCGTTCTTAATGACTCCAAAACCCTCCACCAAAGGCATGTGGACGACATCGACTTCTACACGGGAGGCTTGGCAGAACGACCCATCCAGGACGGGCTCGTGGGACCGACCTTCGCCTGTGTTATCGCTGACCAGTTCCTCAGGCTGAAGAGAGGTGACCGCTTCTGGTATGAGACCAACGAGAAACCGATGGCTTTTGCGAAAGGTGCGGTTTTGTTGTCGATTGCTAGGTTTGATTATATTTTGTTTGTAGTCGGAATCGATAAATAAACTCACGTACGCACCCCTCATAGATCACATCCTAAATACATATTCGTTTTTTCTCACCCTCCATAGAGCACTATACATCTTAAATACAAATCCGTTCTTTCTCACCCACCATAGGGCACTGTGCATCCTAAATACACATCACTTCTTTCTTCGCCTCAAACACTATACATCAAATACACATCCGTTCTTTCTCACCCACCTTAAACACTATACATCAAACACAATTCCTTCTTTCTCGCCCACATCTGGCACTATACTAATCCTACCGCTCATGTTCCCGCCCCCTACCTTCCAGAACAACTTACGGAACTCCACAAAACCAGCCTGGCGCGCATCCTCTGTGACAACATCCCCGAGTTGGGGTCCATCCAGCGCTGGCCACTCCGAAACTACGCCACAGGGAACCCGCGTCTCCCTTGCTCTTCCCAGTCGATACCCAGGATGGACCTCGGGGCGTGGGAAGAGGACGACCTGGACAAGATCGAGCTGTTCAAGATGGACTACAGGCCAAGAGGATCGGCCGGCGGGAGATAGGAATTGGATTCTGTTGGTTTGTTTCTCTTTTGTTTTTAGAGAGGTATTTGATTCCATTCATTTATTTCACTGATTTTTTTTTGAGGAGATACATTTGATTCTACTCATAGATTTCACATTTTTTAAGGGATATGAATTGGATGCTATTCATTTAGTTCACTTTTTTAGCTTATTGTTTTTTATTTTCATCTTTCGTGTGTAAATATGTGTCTTCTTGATAGTTTTTGTATCTCAGTCTGCTGTATTAAATAGTGGTGGTGGATGTTCGAGATTAATTTTTTTTTAAATGTTGTAGTTTAGTTTTTTTATTGTTCAATTGTACTAGTGTTACTACTAGAACTAGTACCGGTTCGTCAGATGTTCATTAAAAGTAGATAAATCTTTGAGTGTTCCTTAATTATGATTAGTGTTTTGTACTTCAAAAATAAAATAAGAAAACAAAGAAAAGAAAGTAAAAAAGTGATCTTATGCAACTTTAATATTCTCATACCAAAGATATGAAACTTTTATTCTTATTTTTCTCATTCTAATTTTTCTTAGATATTATTAAAATCAGATTAAGTTCCTAGTGATATCACTTCATATAAAGAAAGACATTTGGGGCATCAACTGAATTTTGGTGCGAATATGCATATGGATGTGTGTGCATATATGTATATATGTATATGCATATACATATATATGTATATATATATGAATGTGTTGTGTACTGTAAGTTTGTCTGCCTGTATATGTATGCTTGCATATATGTATGTATACAATGTATGTGTATGTATGTGTTTCTCTTGTCTGTTTGTCTATACATAATTCAGCACATACACATACATACTATGGTTCTGTTAATGTAAGCTGATGCTCATGAAAATAAAATCCATGTTAATGTAATATGAGTATTATTTACCTTCTGCAATGTTCCGAAGTAGATTAAGGGTTTATATGAGAGACAAATAAAAGGACTAATTTATTTTCCTTTATTTACAAGGACGATTAAAGAAAGGTTATTATTTACCTTCCTCTGCAACATTCTTGAAGAGTAGAAAGGGTAGGAATGAGAATGGATATCTTCACAATACAAGAGATGTATTTCCCCGGATTCGTTTCTATCTATCTATCTTAACTCTCTCTCTCTTTCTCTTCTTTCTCTCCCTCTCCTCTCTCTTTCTCTTTTATTTCCTCTCTCCCTCTCCTCTCCTCTCTCTCTCTCTGCCAAATACATCTCTTGTATTGTGAAGATATCCATTCTCATTCATACCTTTTCTACATTTGTCAACATGAATACGGTTCATTCTTGAAGAGATTAAAAAGGTGTATGAGACACAAATAAAATGACTAATTCCTTTATTTACAAAGACGATAAAGAAAGTACACAGCAGATGCACTACACCAATAAGATTGTCTAACTACCTGTCTAGAATTGTCGAGAACACACACAAATTATGAAACCTTTTGAAAGGCTTTGATTCAAGAGCAATTATATATATACACATCTAAAATATATATCTATATATATATCTAAAATTCATCAACAATGACACACAATACAACGATTTACGCATTATACTGACAAATATGAATGTAATCATTATATTTTTAACACCATTTATTTTATTTCTTATATTTGTTTTTCTCTTTATTCAGAACAAGGAACCGCTTGTGAACAATAGATCTAATATTATGTCTAAATATCAAAAAGCATTTTCCACCAGAATGATACAAAAACTGGGAATGTTATAGTCAGCGATACACTTTACTCTCGCGTTTTCTTTACCACTGAGCACAAAATATTTAGGTAGTTGGGACACCACCTAACAAAGACATAACACACAGGCAAGTCCTCAGTACCACCTTATATAAAGTGGAGTTCAGCCGATGTTCCCCAGTTTGGATTAGTTGGAGGCTTGAGTTTCAAAGTTGGAGGACTTGATATGAAAGCTTTGTTTAGGACAAGTTGGGTAATAAATGTGCTTGAATTGGATAGCATAAGTAAAGATTAACTTTGAATAAGGTGGGTTAGGAAAGCAGAAGTGATTGGGGAACATTGGCACATACCCCACAACATAACCCATGTTAACACACCTAGCACAACATGAAGGCCATTTGCAAAAAAAAAAGCCATACTGGAATGGTCGTTAATAACCTGCCTTCAACAAGCATAACTGTCAAAAAGTAATCAGCTGGGGCATTTTTTTCCCCTTTCATTGACACCTAACACGAGGTAAGCCCGTTGTGTTTCCTCTGTGTTCGTTCTCTGAAGAATATATGTGATAGTATTTGAGTTTTCTTAAGGAGAATAACAAAGATTTTTTTTATTATTTTTTTTCGCAGGGGAAAAGAGTGGAATGATCGTGTTAGATAAAAATCACGTTTTATTTCGTATTATTGTTTTGAATGCTGGTTGAGTGCGCTTCTTCCTCCATGGCTGTGCGTGTGCTTCGTAAATGTGCAGAATTTCGAACTGATAATCATAACGATTATGAATAAGTACTATTATGCATTTTATCAGATGATATTTGTAATTATATTTATAGTTTTGAACACACATGGCTTTTTTTATCTGTTCTCTTCACTCTTTGGTAATGAACGCATAGAAAAGAAATATATATATATATATATATATATATATATATATATATATATATATATATATGCCAGTACTAACTATGGTAAAAGGAAATGATAATGGTTATGTAAATTATCATAACGATGATTATGATGATGAAAATGATAGAAATAAAACTGACAATAAAACAATAATTATAATTATGATAATGTTCCTAATAATGATTATAATGCCGGTAATAATTACTATGATAATAACTAATAATATTACTACACTACCACTATTTTAATAATAGTAACCATGAAAATTCGATAAAGATTACTGATAATAAGGGTTATTATGACCTAATTTAGTAATAAACTTAATTATATGCATTAAGTATTCAGTATAAAGATCACATAAAAATAAACCATCGAAAGAAAATGAAAATTATTAAAAAAAAGAGAAATGATTATGGTGATGATCATGGCAATCATAAAAGTAATAATAATATTGATAATGGCAATGATAATAACAATATAATAGTAATAATAATAATGAAAATAATAAAGATAATAATAAAAACAATAATAGTGATAATAAAAACAACCATGATAATAGTAACGAAGCTGCTAATGATAATGTAAACTATAATATTGAAGGCAATTATGAAAATATCCATGATAAGGTTGAAAAAAATATGTATTTATATAAATGGGTATATTATATATATATATATATATATATATATATATATATATATATATATATATATATATATATATATAATCGTGAGTTTAGCTTCTTATGAATTATAAAAAATAATTGGACATAGAAAAACTTGCCATTAAAGAGCATTATGACCTCTTCATACATTTAGCAAATGCACTCATGAGATATTATTATATTAAAATATTTTCAAAAATTCAACTCTTCAACCCAGTTTCTCTTTGTGACTTCTACTTACAGATCCATGTGTGTCTGTGCACGTAACTTTTCAATAAAGATCGTCTTGTGTACGTTTTAATCAGTTGTAGGTGTGTAAATGTGGATTATTTTGACCTATTTAAATTTTATTACTATTGCTTCTTTCTTCTGCTTTTTTATAAATGCCAAAATGGAACGCACCAAATAACAAAATCAAAGATCTACGTTTATATCTAAATAATGAATGGTTTATCGTCACAAGTACATCATATGGAAGATTCCGGAGTTTATACACACTACTTAATCCTAAGTTCACTCGTCAACTTGTCTTATCGATGACGCAACCTGTAGAGTGTTGGACCTCGTACACTGACTGCGAAAGGTGTCGCATATTGACAGAGAGAGCAAGGGAGGGAGGAGGGAAGGGAAGGGAGAGAGGGTGGGAGGGAGAGAGGAAAGGAGGAGGGAGGGAGGGAGGGGAGGGGGGAGGGAGGGAGGGAGGGAGGGAGGAGAGGGAGGGTGGGAGGAGGAGGGAGAGGAGGGAAGGAGGGAGAGAGGGGGGAGGAGGGAAGAGGAGGGAAGGGGAGAGAGAAGGAGGGAGAGGAGGGAGAGGAGGGGAAGGAAGGAGAGAGGAGGAAGGGAGGAAGGAAGGAGAGAGGGAATGAGTTAGGGAGAGGGAGCGAAAGAAAAAGAGAGGTAGAGGGATAGGAAGAGAGAGAAGAGAGAGAGAGAGAGAGAGAGAGAGAGAGAGAGAGAGAGAGAGAGAGAGAGAGAGAGAGAGAGAGAGAGAGAGAGAAAGAGAGAAAGAGAAAGAGAAGAGAAAGAGAAAGAGAGAGAGAGAGAGAGAGAGAGAGAGAGAGAGAGAGAGAGAGAGAGAGAGAGAGAAAGAGAAAGAGAAAGAGAAGAGAGAGAGAGAGAGAGAGAGAGAGAGAGAGAGAGAGAGAGAGAGAAGAGAGAGAGAGAGAGAGATTTTTGAAGTGGCTTTGGTTTTTGAGTAAATAAAATGTTATATTCTTTCATAAGCCTTTAACATATGAATAGTGTATAAGAATGATAAAATAAACCAGAAGTCTCAATAATAATAGCGGAATAACAGTAGTAATAGTAGTAGTAGTATAAATAATAATAATAATAATAATAATAAATAACAAATAATAATAAGGAAATAATAATAACAATAAACATAAAAAAAATATTTTAAATCATGGAAACACAACGCATTTGGAATTACATTTAACATGACTCTACACACTAAAGTACAACAAACCATAGACGAAATGATAAAAAGAAAAAGAGAGAGAAAAAAAAACAAAGTATTGAATGGAGTGTCTATTATATCTGTTAAGCTGGAATGCAATTTAAAGATCTAATGGAAGAAATCTGATTTATCACACGAAGAACAACTTAGGCGATACTGACCATCATATTGTCATACTGTTGAGGTAGTGTTTCATCTTTCGTCTTTTGCTTTATCTATTTGTTTTGTTTACATTTATCAGCTGATTAGAAGCAGAACCATATGATTTTCTTTGCTTTCTCTATTTGTTTTGTTTACATTTATCAGCTGATTAGAAGCAGAACCATATGATGGAAGATGGGAGTTTATTTCATATATTGTTTTTATTGTGATATATCATAACAATTCGAAATAATTGCCACTGTTCGCCACATATCTTAACCCTGCTCTGTTTTGACTGCCAGAGGCCCAATTTGTAAATAATAAGGTGATTCAGCATTTGTGTAAGCATCAAAAGCTAACATTATAGTGTGATGGACGGGCCTCAATAACAGAGCAATCAGCCATGAAAGTTTTTTCTTTCTTATATATATATATATATATATATATATATATATATATATATATATATATATATATATATATATATATATATATATATATATATATATATATAATATATATATATATATTATATATATATATATATACATATATATATATATATATAATATATACATTATATATATATATATATATATATATATATATATATATATACATATATATATATATATATATATATATATATATATATATATATATATATATATATATATATATATATATATATATACTATATATATATATATATATATTATATATATATATATATATATATATATATATATAATATATACATATATATATGGGACGACAAAGCCATCAAAACCTTATGCATTTGAACACACACGCTTACGTTCAACAACACACATGCAAGTGCCCCAAAATGACTGAATGCCAGCTTGATGTGCTGATAAATAACTAAATGTAAATATCTGTGTAAATGAAAAAACGAATGCACACATATAAACAAATAAACACAGATATATAGATGCACACACACATGTGTATATATATATATATATATATATTATATATATTACATATATGTATATACATATATATATCACATACACCTATATATATATATATATATATATATATATATATATATATATATATATATATATATATATATATATATAAACACACACGCGCGGCGGACATACACACACACACGCACACACACACCACACACACACACACACACACACACACACACACACACACACATATATATATATATATATATATATATATATATATATATATATATATGCACACACACACACAGGTGTTATGAAAATAAACCAAATTAAATTACTGTCTGGCATTCCACAAATAACATCACACTAACACCCACAATATTGTTATAGCATATGGTTCTGCTATATCCAATGTTTTTTCTATAGAATTATCATCCCGGCTACTTAATTCATTTGAATATACAGTTATCATTGTTTTATATCCCAATGTGTTTTCTTCCAATAATTGTATATTGTTATTCTCTGTAATATTTTCATTATGGAATTTCCTCATTAAGTCTGCCAAGATATATATTATATTCGATTATATTAATGCTGTTCATGGTATCATGATTATCACCACCATAGCAAAGATCAGTATACCCCAAGTGAATGTGTAAATATACGTATAATCACTTAGTATATCATAATGCATCGTCAAAAATCATGTTTCAGCGATTTCACAGAACTGATCACAACCTGAACAATGACGACGAAATGGCCTAAGTAAGCTCTGCCAGTATCCAAGCATAAGTTCTTAACTCCTTGCAGAATAAGATATTAATACTGTCTCTGGATTCCAGTCATAAAACCTCCTTTTAAATTTCATTCACGAAACTTGCCTTCAGATTCCATTCTGAAAAACAACAACACTACTATTCCATTCATAAGACAGTCACCATTCTCCATTCACAAAACTGCCTTTGGAAATCACCCAGAAAACCTTCAGAGCACTAATTCAACAAGACTTTATAAATGATACATGTAAACTTGTATTCTTCTGAAAGCTAAGCTATGATGACAGCTACAAAACTGCAACACATGAACTGCTTATCAAAAAGTAAGTTTATTATTTTCATGTGAAGGCAAATGTATTCTTAGTATCATTCACTTTTCTTATCGGATGACTATTCTAAAAACTTCTCTATGCTAAATGGCAACATTATGAGTATGATCCGTGAAGGAACGAAAATAAACCTTATCAGTTCATCACTATGCTCGTTTTCAAGTCACATCAAAAAAGGAAAATCGATATTCATATAAAATAAAAGAAAGTCTGATCTATTCAATTCAGAGAAGAAAGAAAAATTCGGATAAGAGGAGATTTTAATTTTCATCCCTGATAAAGAAAACTATAACTCAATTTCTTTAGACCACTCGTGTGCAACACAAGATAAAAAGAAAAGGCATAATCCTCCTCCATCCTTAATAATGTATGATAAATCACATAATACCATTTCAATCTCCCTAATAACTGCTCTCACACTCTGGGGGATTGAAGTATCCGAAAACATTGAGTTCGTAAAGGCTGGCAAACACCATAAAGATGAGGTACCAAAACATGAGAACAACGCCGTACTTCTTGTCCAGCTTCCACCCATTCATGTGCGTAGCAACAATAAGGAACACGACAGTGGAGAAGAGGGAGACAGTTGAATAAGTGAGGCCTGGAATACGAAGGGATTTTTATCAGTAAAAATATCATTGGTGGCAGCAGTGGGATTGTGATGGTTTTTCATATTGATATAATAGTCATCATAATAATAACAAAACCTTTTTCCATGATCATTATCTTGCTGATTGAGATCATAATTAGTCACTGAAATTAGACATTACCTCTGCTTTCGACTGGGACAATAGAGCCAGGGTCAACAACTGCTGTTTTAAGGAACCATGGAAGACCTAAGCACAGGAGGATGTCGAACACATTGCTGCCAATGGCGTTACTCACAGCCATGTCACCAAAACCTGCAAAATTAATAGGCATTTCAATATATTGTATATATCCTTTCCCTTGACAAAAAGGATATTGGATGTGGCCTATTATGATATTTTCTATATTTTATCTTTTCTGATAGATAAACCAAGAAACTCAATGAAACCCGAAAGGGGAATAAATTTCCAGATATGCAAATACTATCAGCACTGTTAACATGTCTAATTAATAAAATAAGAAAAAAGATGTATCTTCTACACTTGTAAAAAGAAACGGAAGATAAACATTAAAAAAGTCATTCTCATTCTCTCTCTCTTCATGCAGTCACGCACATAATACACACCAACACGCAGATAGCCACAGACCCAGATACCAACACAACTTTATATAATACCAGCAATCATCCATTCCCCTTACCTTGTTTGGCCACGCACAGAGACGAGAGCGCATCGGGAACTGACACTCCGACGGCGATGAAAGTCAGACCCATAACTGTGTCCGGAATACCAAGCGTGAAGCCTGTGAAGTAAAAAAAAAAAAAAAAAAAAAAAAAAAAAAATACGATATGTAAATTAAGTGCTTTTGCTTTTCACGTCTTTTTTCCTCTTTCCTAGCTGCTAATGTTTTTTTTTTTTTCCTTTCTTTTATCATATTTTGTTATATACAGTTCCACGTTCTCAATATCCGTCTATCGGAAACCATTTAACACGATAAGGAGAACTGATAACATGATCACACACGCTCACCGATGACAGTTATCATCCAGACCATGATGTAGGAGTAGGCAGCGATCCACAACATGCTCATGATGAACGTAACCAAGTACCAGCGGCGGAAACGTTCTCGGCGGCAGTCAGGCGTTGTGAAGTGATGGATGGCCACCAGGGGGAGCTTCACTATCCAGCTGATGCGTTCTCCGACTCCCACAGGCATGGTCCAAGGGGATACGTCCTCATCCTGCGGGGTTTCAAGGAGGGTGGGATAGGACCCTTTTTCCCCAGACCAAATCGAATGCGTTTTCCTCTTTTTTTCTACTTTTGGGATATCTTCTGTGTCGATATCTAATCCAAAAACTTTTTTTTTCCCATTAAGGATCTCTACATAATCTACTTTTCCAAACGGGCGGCTGTAATCTACTTAGGCTTTTTGTAATACTTGGGTCACGTAAGGATCCCATTAACTTCTTATTTCCTTAATCTTAAATTCATTACTTGCTTGACTCGATTCTGTTTCAGATAATCATAATGAATCAATAAATTTGTTCATCTCAAATCACTGATAGTTCAGCATAGTTCAGTATATCCTCTCGAAACACACTATCCCTACAACTTGGCACAATTCAGTATAATCTTAAAAACTAACCATCTGCAAAACCCAATAAGGACTTAAATCTGGAGAAATTAATATATTCTCGAAGTTGGTTATCGCTGCACCTTATTAAGTGTTCGATGTCCTCTCAACCTACAGCTCGAAAGTTTATCGTCATACAAACTCACTCACTCACAAACCCACAAACTCGTTTATCTTTACCGTGACTAAACTTGAACCTGTAAAATCGCGACTAAACCTGAACCTGTGCACTGGCGACTAAAACTTAAAATCCGACTTACCTTCATTTCCGGTGCCATGGATTTGACTCCTGCAGATTCCACTTCTGTCGCCTCCACCTCCTTCGGGACGTCACCGACAGCTGCGGAGAGTCACAACGTTAAGGAACGACCCGGCAAAGAAAAACTTTACGACGAGAATAATATTAGAATACAACGTACAGTTATGTAGTAATAACTCTTGATAAGAAATAACTTTTGAAAATTATTTTATTATGTAGTAACAACCCTTCACGGTGAAATTGTTATAACTATTTTTTCTTCATATCCTACCCTTCTTAAATTAGAATAATAATTTATTGGCTTCTAATTACCGAAAATTAGCCATGCCTGACAAGAGAATAAACCTTCACCCAAATGCTGAAAACGTGAAACACACACCACCACCACTTTAATAAGTTTACGGGACTAATAAACAAAACTAATGCCCAAAGAAAATAATACACTTCAAGTAAAGAAAAGTTGTATCCTGTGAGTAAAAACAAAGTGCAGAATAAATGCTGAGATAATGTTTATATCATTAGATTTTAAATCCATTAGATGTTCATATTTGTTTTATTTTTCCGCTGCACCCGAGCATTCATAAATCCCGGTTAAAATGAAATGTGCAAGAAAAATGAGGCACAAGTGCGAATTGAGGTAAAGGTGGAAAAGTAAATAGTAAATGTTGGTGCAAGTGAATTTGAATAAAACTATTGAGAAATCAAAACATCCCATAAATAATAAGGGATAGTGAAATCAAAGAACAGTGACGTGCTCGAAAACCGATTGGCATTGAATCATGTCCCTGAGAACTTGTGTTCATGTGTGCACAAGCTGATCGTTCCAAAGTCTATGTATGTGTACAGAGTTATGATTCTTACTGCGATTTATGTGTCCGCTCCATCGTCACACGATGAGTATCAATTAATATTGTTATGTTCATATGTGTGACATTTGTTTAATATTACTTATATCTATTTTCAGCATGTTGTTGTTCAGAACGTCGGTCTCACGCGACTAAAAGTGCATATTTAGAACGTCTAATTTTATTTATCCACAAGTCCGTAACCATCAAACCTTCGATGCTTTCACACTCAGTCAACGCAGCGGTTTCATGACATGCAAAAAGCTTACTGGTCCATGACCCTCCATCGTCAGGACTTTCACTGTTACAAGACGTTTCTGCTGACTGTAAAAGTGGTACGGTCTGCTCCACGTCGACGTCGTCTGAAATGCACATTCATAAAAAAAAAGGTTTGTCCATATTCGTTTGTAGGCTTTGTTTATACCCCGTAGCATGGTTGGTTCACATCTGGCTGGAGGTTTTGTTTATACCCACAACAAGGTTGGTTCTCATCCAGCAGAAGCTTTGTTTACATTTACAAGTTTGTTCCCATCCGGCAGAAGGCTTTGTTTACATCCTCAGAAATATCCGTTCACATCCGGCAGGATATTTTTACATGAATTTAAATACTTCTTCACATACTCTTCCAGGATTGCCCTCAGACAGAAGAAAGAAATTGTTACGTCCATTTTTAGCTGTGAACACTGAAAATAAATCGGTATTACATACTAGATAATACTTTATGCAATGCTGTTCACAGCATATCTGTTAAAATCTTTAGCAGTGACGCTTTGTGCATATTGCTTAAACCTAAGAAGTTGGACAGGCATGGTCGCTGTCGAACTAATCGTGGTGGAGTGTTAACTTCGTTATCGGGGTCATGCGACAAAGAATATATCTATTTCCATTCTGATATTGAATAAATACATAATAAATACAGTACATGGCACACATACATATACACGCGCGCGCACACACATACGGACACACTTAAAACACGCATGTGTATATATAATATGTGTGCGTGTAAAGCCTTTATTTATTCCTTCAGTACAGACACAGACACGATGATCGCTTCTTGCCACTTGATGTATATTTTTCAAAATGATTCTCATATGTAAAGGCGCTTAACTCGAGTTTGTCACACTTAAAGGTTTATGCCAGTGATTGTCTCATTATTACTAGCTACCTAAAACCACACACCTGTTTATGTTTATTAGTTGTAACGACTTGTAAACAATGTCCATTTAATAGATTAAACATAATTTTATAAAAGTCTTGGTATGGAATTATTCTACTCAGTCTTTTAACTTTTTGCTAACCAGTGTAGAATATTCTTGTAAAAAATATTGTAAAATTACTATACACTTTATATAGGTTTTAGTGTAAGAAAATTGACGTTAAATCATACACCAGACTCCTTTCCGAAGCTATACCACTTTCGACGAGCCCCTCACATAAAACTCAAACGCATATGCTTTCAAACCTTCATAAAATATGCACAGACGCTCACGCTGCATGTCCATGATCCACTTAACGTGTTTAAAACTTCAGAGATAAAACGAACGATCGCCAACAGACCCTCACATGGAATTACGAGTCTCTTGATATTGCAACCAGACCTCTTAAAATTCACCGCACTGTTGCACAATCCCTTTGAAACGTTTGACTTTATAACAAGTGACAATTAGAGCCATCGCGGCGTCAGACTCTCTTGCGCGTAGCCTAGCCTCTTCAAATAACAACGGTGGTTAATATAAGACTATGCTACTTCTACTACTAATGTTACTATTACTGTTGTTATTATCATATTATTTACTGTATGGTTATTCTCGTTGCTCATAATCTATCTTATCATCTTTGCCACTGGTAGTAGGTTATCATAATCATTACCAATAATCATAATTCCTAATCTTTAGTTATTTCTAGGCTCCTTTCCATTCTCATACTTCACCCAAATCAACAAGACAGTGTAATGTTGATGCTTCCTTTGCAATAATCGTAAATAGCAAGGAAATGTCGGCATTCTGCAAGGACACAGATTACGGGTTTGTATGTTTGTGTATATAAGCAAGTGTAAACATTGCATTTCACACATGGATTTCTGGAACAACAATGCTGGTTTCCATACTGTACAATTGGTGTTTGGGCGAACATATTCCTTGGTAATACACATACAAATCGTTGAAATTTCACCTATTCGTGTGTTCCTTACACTATGACATAATAATGTTACACAATCACTATTTGTTCACTGATAACCAGTAACATACCACCTTATCGTTAATTAGTCTATGATATACTGTAATATATACAGACTCAGCCCAACAATCTAGTGCTATTTCTCTCTTCAGATTTGAGCTGAGATGCAAAATAGAGATGGGGAGGTTAAGCATAGGATCATATACAGCTGAAAATATAGAAGCTTGAGGCTGGGGGTTGCCGACTAGGATGCTGCGTAGGTGTTAGTTTTCGTAAAAGGTCAATGAAGAGGAGGGACGAGAGAATGAATAGAGAGAAGGAGAGAGAGAGAGAGTGAGAAAAAAAAGAGGATAAGGATGAAAAGAATAGTAGAAAAGCTCTCTCTCTCTCTCTCTCTCTCTCTCTCTCTCTCTCTCTCTCTCTCTCTCTCTCTCTCTCTCTCTCTCTCTCTCTTCTCTCTCTCTCTCTCTCTCTCTCTCTCTCTCTCTCTCTCTCTCTATATATATATATATATATATATATATATATATATATATATATATATATTTACACACACATATGTAATGTATCTCATATATGTATATATGATATATGTATATAATATATATATATATATATATATATATATATATATATATATATATATATATATATACATTAGTTTATGTATATGTATTTACACACACACACACACATAAATATACATATACTATATATATGTATATGCATATACATACATACATTCATACATACATACATACATACATACATACATACATACAACATACACACACACATATATATATATATATATATATATATATATATATTATATATATATATATATATATATATATTATATATCTAAATAAAGAAAGAGAGAGAATGTTAAACAGCAGAAGAAAAAAAAATAGAAACAGGTCAAAACAAACGAAAAGATAAAGGCGAGAATCAAATGGAAAACCAGGGAATGAGTAACATTATTAGCACACAATCTATACACGAAGCGCTGCCAACTCCCACAGGCCTTACCAGTCGACCCGTAGCTCCTCGTGTGCGGATGGGTGTATGTTTCTGTAATGTTGCGGTGGAAATGAATAAATTAAACTGGAAAATAAAGGTAAATCATAAACTGATCAGATGAATGAATCTAAAAGAGGAGGTGAATGTAGGATGGGTTTGTCTAGCATGTGTGTGTGTGTGTATGTGCATATATATAATATATATATATATATATATATATATATATATATATATATATATATATATATATATATATATATATATATATATATATATATATATATAATATATGTATATATGTATATATATATATATATATATATATATATATATATATATTATTATTATATATATATATATATATATATATATATATATAATATATATATATATATATGTATATGTATGTATATACATATATATACATATATGTACAAATGTATGTATATACATGCCTGTGTTTTTGTACGTTTTATAACTGAATTCATTTCCTTACTTTCTTGCGATCTCCGTTCTGATTATTTCTATGTCAATTTGAATCATTTATCATATTTTTTATTCAAACAAAATTCAATTACTTTATCTCGAATATATCATAAGGTGCACACATATTTTGTATCAACAACGAGCGAAAAAAATACCATGAGATAAGCCCGAGAAACGACGAAAAATAAATAAATAGATAAATAAAATCCGCCACTCACACAGTAATACCAAAATCGTTCTATAAACGACAGAAGGCATTCAGTTGTCAGCTCCAGAAATTCGTTTAATGGTCGCCTGGAGCCCCTTGACACTTGGGGGATCGAACCCGGCCTTAAGGAATCGGAAGCCAGCGGAATTGGAAACACAGATTCGATTTTGTTTTGGAGATGGGATTCAACAAGTCCTTGGAAGTCTTATTCCCGCGCTTTGGGATCTCGGCCCTTATTGTCTGCTTCCAGGATGTTTATTCGTAGACCTTGTTCCAGATACATTGTATTTTCGAACTATTATCCAGGCTGATAAGTTATAAGTCATGTAAGTTAATATAAGTAATTCCTCGGTGTTGAAAAATAGATTAATGTACATCCAGTGGGCGGAGCATGGCCGTTACAAGTTCTTTTTATCGCGTATTAAATCCCCCACAAGTTTAATACAAGATTCATAGCCTTTTCAGTGGAGGCTTTGGCGGACGAATCAATATATCCGACTTTTTATGGTATAGAATATTAAATTCGTGAGCGCGAACGTGTCAGTATTAAGAGTTAAGAGGATAAGCGTTATTGAATCAATCAAATATTTTGTATTTGGTAAAATGGGAGTCAAAACGTGTTCAAAACACGAAACTGAGATATCTATTTGTCTATTTGCGTCGTCAACCAACCAACAGGCGTGTTTGTTCTGTTTGTTAGAAAACCAAAAAAATATAATGTGGATTGTCTGAAAATCAATGAAGTATAATGTAATATGAAATAGGATGAAAATTAGTGAGTGAATGAAAAGAATAACCAAAGTAAAATATGAAAATATTCTTCTCTCTACAACACTACAAAAATCAGTACCATGAAATTAATATATTCAATCGAAATCCAACCCAAAAAAGTAATAATCATGATGCTAAAATGAACAGATAAATGAATATAACTACCATAATCATTCGTAACAACCAAAACAGAATAAGAATAATAACACTGAAAGTAGAAATAATAATAATGACGATAACAAGAGCAACAACAACAATAACACTAATAACAATAATAATGATAACAATAATAATAATAATGATAATGATAACAATAACAACAACAACAACAAACAAACTATCCAAATCCCATCCAAACTTCAAAAAAAAAAAAAAAAAAAATTACCTTGTCCATCCATAGCCGGATTTTCGGAATCCTGCGCCCCCTCGCCCTTCATGTCATCCCCAACGGGCGGCACCGGCTTGGTCCCGAAGAGCGAGGACTTCTCCTCCCTCGTGGCGTTCTTGAAGGGGATGTTGAGGGTGTTCGCCCAGGCCTCCAGGCGCTTGTTGTAGAACATCATGACGATGTAGAGGACGTAGAGGAGGAGCAGGAAGACGGACTCGTACCTGTGGGAAGGGGGGCGAGTGAGATAAGATGAGATGTTGTTATGAGATGATTGAGATGTTGTTATAAGAGAATAGATGATAAGATGAGATAAGATGGTTATAAGATAAGATGATATAAGATAAGGTGAGATAAGATGTTATATGAGATAAGATGTTGTTATAAGATGAGATAAGATAAGAAGATAAGATGTGAGATAAGATGTTGTTATAAGATATAAGAT